CTGCAAGGCCCTGCCTGCCCTGTTTCCTGTGGCTCCCATGGTGTGAATACAGCTCAGCACGTTCAGGCAGGACACCAACAGGAGGAACAAGTCAGAGATGTGGGCTGGCTCATCAGTGGGGATCTGTCCTTTGTAGACTTTCCTGCTATGGCCTGACAAGAAGGCCGGCTGCCACCCTAGAGGCTCTTCCTAATTCGACCTATTTCCTACTTCTATTTCTGGAAGGCAGGAGGAGCCCCCACTTGAGCAAACCTCTTAGCTCCTATATTAAGAAGTTGTATTTCAAATGCAGATTTGAAAAAGCCAAAGGAGAAAAAAACAAGACATTGGAAGTAGCCATGAAACAACCTGGAATTTGAAGACCTTCTGGAATGTTCCTTCTCCTCCTTTGGTCCATGCTGGGTCCGGTGGTGGGCAGGGCTCTGAGAGGTGTGTGACCGTGGCAGGGCTTTCAGGACCGAGGCGATGGCCACTCACAGAGAGCTGGGGGTGCGAGCCCCTGCTTGGGTGATGTCTGATCAAGCTCCACCCACCCTCCGCAATCCAGAAGTCTCCCCAAGTATTCTCCACCTGAATTATCTGGAAGTTTCCTGACTTCTCTACTTTCCAGGACAGCTCTCCTTGGCTGGCAGGACTGGTTTTTCCACTCTGGCTGGTGTTAGACATACTCAGAAGAATGAACATCTAATGACATATTTGTCAAAGTAGTGCGCGCCCTGCAGCCCATGCCCAGTATCTCATTGACAGCTGCTCTGTCAGCTGGCAAACTCTACGCCCATCAAAACTTTCCAGCCGTTCCTCCTGCACCGCAGGCGAGCTGACTGCTGCCGGTGCTAATGAGGTGGAGATTGTCACACACCTTCCTGGGACACAATTGTGTTGCACAAACACACAGCGGGCCGCACGGCAGGGCCGACACACACAGACCCCAGCCCCATACCAGCTGGGTAAAGCCCCCCACATCCAGGGACTTTGAAAGGATTAACCATTCTAAACAAACATGAGCTGAGGTCACGCAAGTCACAACAGGTAGGGGGTGTGAAAAGGCAAGCCTAGTACACAAATGAAAAATTTAAAATACCATTACCCCAACATCCAAAAGTAGATACTGTTTTTTAAAGTGTGGGTCTTTTTCTAAAGTGTACTCGGAAGTGTACTAAGAACATTATTGTTTTCAAACACGTTATCTAACAAAGATTTTTAAAGCATGAGAAAACTGAACCTACATAATTTTGAGTATCATTAATTTTCCTTCTGGCAGCCAACTTTTCTTAGCCGGAGCTGGAAATTAGGCCTGAACAGTCTGCCCTGAGTGAGGCTGGTGGATTTGGGAGGTAGGAGAGGGGAAACAGGACTCCCTATCATCCCAGGAAGTCTGGGAGAAGGTGGGATGGGACAAATCCAGCTTAGGCTCTGGGGACAGGCTCAGAGGGTGATTCCTGCAGGGGGATCAGCTGCAGTCATAGTAAGTCAAGTATTCCACATTTATTCCAGAAAGACATCAAAGCAAAGAGGCCAGTGGAAGCAGATCTAACTTTGGATGTAAGCACAGGAGGTTCACCGCTTAGATTCTAATCACAAATCATCAGTACTTAAATAAACAATAATTTTAAAATAGCTTGCAATATTATTGTTCTGGACGCAAAAGAAGGCAAAACAAAACGAAAAGCAATGTGTAGATATCGTAGGAAACATGAACAGCAGAGATGAGCAAAGCACAGTGACTGCAATCCCAGCACACACACGTGATCACACACCACCCTTTGAGCATTACCTGCTCCTTGGCTGTGGCCTTAGTGTACATATTTATTAATATATTCTGTGAAAATGAAGTCCAACATGCAATGCATTAAAATTGGGCTTTACAGAGGGGGCACTGTAGGCTTTAATCCCTGGAATTAATAAATTCTGTTAGTGAGCTCCAGGGCTGGGGCTCACAGGCTCAGTTCTGCTAGTACCACCTGTGGGACCTTAAAACTCTGAGTATGGGTATAAATTAGTAGCTTCTCACAAGATTCCTTATGAGGATTTGGTTATTATTGTAATCCATTAATATGGAATAGAATTTTCTTAATGCTAAACAGGGGACAGAACTTTCTGGGGCATGTCAGGCTATTTTCCTCTCCTCTTCAACTCTTGGTTTTCTGTGTTAGGTCGCTGCACAAACACCTCCCTCATTCGCAGGGGGTCCCAGGGTGTCACTTCCCTGTCCTGTCTCTACTTCAAGCTCTTTGAACAGTACACAGTGAAGGCTGCTGCGGTCCCATCAGGGTCCTTGGCCCTTGTGTGTGTCTCTTGGGTTACACAGAACAGGAACGGCAGGGATTCCTGAGATCCCACTGGGGAAAGAGGCCTGGGGCAGAAAAGACTTTTCTGTGCCTGCTGTTTTCCATCAGAGCAGTCAGGAGAGGACATGTGCCAAGCTCAGATGCAGGCCTTTAGGGAGAATCACGGGGGGCTGGGGAGTGCCACACTTTGGTCTCTCGGAGCACCTTAACATTTTCTAGTTATCTGTCCTGCCACAAGCTTGGAGGTGGGGATGGGTTTGTCCAAAGCCCATTGTGCCCTGGTCCCTGGGACCTGTAAGAATCAGTGGGGGATCCCTGGGGACTTAGAAACGCAGGCTCTCTGTGCCTCAGGCCTCCTGAATGAGATTCTGCATTTCACTAGGATCCCCAGGGGACATGTGCACATGATAATTTGAGAAGTGCTGCTCTACGGGACTCAAACCATTTAGATGGGCTGATTCTCCACTTTAGCTACACATTAGAATCACTAGGGAACTTTTAAAAATCACCCATGCTGGCCGAGCACCATGGTTCACTCTTGTAATCCCACCCCTTTGGGAGGCCGAGGTGGGTGGATTACTTGAGGTCAGGAATTCTAGACCAGCCTGGTCAACATGGTGAAACTTTGTCTCTACTAAAAGTACAAAAATTAGCTGGGCATGGTGTTGCACGCCTGTAGTACCAGCTACTCAGGAGGCTGTGGCAGGAGAATCGCTTGAACCTGGGAGGTGGAAGTTGCAGTGAGCTGAGGTCATGCCACTGCACTTCAGCCTGAGTGACAGAGCAAGACACTATCTTTAAAAAAAAAAAAAGAAAAAGAAAAAATTACCCATGCTTGCTCACTCATTGCCCCCCTGCCCCAAGATGCTGCTCTGGTGGGTCCAGGTGGTGCCATAGCCCTGCCGGTTTGAGTCACTACCCAGTGACTCTGTGGGCCATGGTTGAGAAGCACTCCTTTAGATCACCAACTGTTGACCAGGAGGGGGAGGGAGCAGCGCCTCCTGTGGGGCTTTTTCAGATGACACAGTCACCCACCCAACAGGCCCCAAACAGACCCAAGGTCCCTGTCCCCACCCTCATCCCTCAGGGCTGCCAAGAGGAGCAGCAGGAGGATAAGGGAGCCTCATGTGCACTGGAAATGTGGAGGTGCTACCCCCAAATCGGGGACAGTGTTCTATCACCCATGTCACCTTGATCTCACACTAACAGAGCAAGGCCTTTCTACCACACAACTGAAAAAAGACATATGTCTAAAACAAAGAAAAAGAAAATTTACAAAGATACAAGTTGAGCACTCTGGAAAGATTTATTGCTGGACAATGTCAAGAAGCAAATTCGTCTCCCATTTCATAACGTGATGGATGTGAAAAGACACCTTCCAGAAACATCACCCTGGTCAGCTGCTGGACATTTCAGATGGAGTAAAAACACTCAAACAACTGAACAAAGTGTCTGCCAAGCCAGGTACAGTGGCCGATCGTTACTTAACACGGTTAAGGGTACAAATGTGGGCCTCTCAGACTCAACATGTTGACCCTTTCACCTGCCATAGTATGGCCTAGCATTTAAGAATGACTGTTACAGCATTAAGACAGGGTTCAGACGGCAATTCCGTGATTTCTGAGTTGTTGACCTTGAAGTTTCCAGACTTCTCTTACCCTCATGTTCCTCAGCTATAAAACGGAAATAAAAGTACCATGTTCCAGGTTGTCATGAGGATTTTATGGCATTATTTTGTAAAGTTCTGAACTTTGTAGTGCCTGGTACATACTAAGGGATTAACAAATATTTATTAACAATGATATCCTATTGGTCTTAAAAGTGGTACAACTGTAGTGGAAAATCTGGCAGTATGTGCCGAGAGCTTAAAGATGTTCAAGACCAATAATTCAACTTCTGTAAACCTACATTACAGAAATAACCTTGAAACCAAGTATTAAGAAATGGGAAGGAAATGCTTTGGGTGGGAGTGAATAACTAGAAGCAACCCAAATGTCCCACAGGAGAATAAGGATTAGGACAGTAACTGCACATAGCACTCACGCAGAAGATGATGTTTCTTTTGGTTCTGAGTGCTGCCCAACTTATGAATCATTTTTTGATCAAATTATTAAATTGTAAAAAAAATAAAATAAAATAAATGAAATGATGCTTCACTTGATCATAGGAGCTAGGTGGTGCCCTCGGTAAATGTCACTGATAGAAGGTTAAGAGAAAAAAGCAAGATACAACATTACATGCACCTTATAAGTGCAATAAAGTCAAAACAAAGTCCCTTAAACACAGAGAAGCAGACTAGGAAAGAACATGTCAAGATGCTCATTGTGCTTATGTTTCAGATAGCGGGATTCTGGATGATTCTTTTTCCTTCTTCCTTTTTTTAAATCAGTTTTTCAATTTTTCCTTAATAAATATGTATCCTTTTTATAATGAAAAAACAAAACTAAATCCTTATTCTTAAAAGTTCTTTAACCCAACATGAAGTGATGCCCCAATTGTTAAGATCTGTGAGTCTGCAATCAATTTTGTACACGGTTCCTCAATTTTTAGAATTTAGGAATCCCAAGATACATTTTATGATGAAAGAGCACCAAATATGGACGTCTGATTTCCATTGGTTGAGAACCCCTTGTTCTTACATAGCCTAGACACCGTGCAGGATGAGCATGGCAGGTCACACCCAGGGAGGCATAAGCATGGCCCTGTCCTTACCGTTAAGCGTCTCCATGGCGCGTTCTGGACACACAGCTGACTCCTCCGGCCCCACACACCAGTACATGCTGGGTGGTCTTTGCGACATGCCAGCCATCAACCCTTGCAGCAGCCAATCTTCAAAGGCAGGTCCCGCTGTTGTCACTGCCACTGTCACTGGCCGTGGGGTGCATTAAGGCATGAACTCATAGCCATGGATGAGCAGAAAGCTTTCTTGTTCTGGTGGGTGAAAAACAATAAAATCAGAAAGCCTTTATAATTCCTGTCCTCCTCCCCTGCAAATATCTGCATGGGTTCATTGAGCTTTCCCTCTGCAATATTCCTTTTTGTAGTCCATCTATCCAGCCAAACCCATCAGGTGTGGTCAGTGGGAAGGCAGAGCTCCCCCATCCCATCTTGATGCTGGGCTCAGGTGTTGTCTACTTGAAAAGAGTCTCAATGAAACCCCAGACAATTGCAAAACACATACTAGTAACTGACTCAATCATCGTTCAGTCAACACACACCCCCTGTCACTTGCAAGGCAGCCAGGCTCTGTGTGAGGCTCAGTGGTGCCAAGATGGTTAAAGGAGGCTCTTGCCCTCAGAAGCACACTCCAATGGGGGCAGGGCAGATATAGTTAAGGTTGGTCACAATACAAGGCTCTCTTTTTGCCCAGGGCCAGTTCTTCTGGAAGCCAGAGGTGAGTATGTCATCCCAAAGGGGCAGTCAGGCAACAGTCCCAAAGACAGGGAGTTATTACTGGTTATGAAGTCAAGTTAGTGTGAGCTTTAGCAGGAAGCTAAATGACAGAGGTTAGCAGAAATGAGCCTCAAAAATTCTGCCCCTTTCCCAGGGCATATTTGGCAATGTCTGGAGACATTTTTGGTTGTCACAACTTGGTTGGGGGAGGGTGCTACAGGCATCTAATGGGTAGAGGTCAAGGATGCTGCTAAACATCCTACAATGCACAGGACTGTTATTTGCAACAAAGAATTATCTGGCCCCAAAAGTTCCAAAGCAGGGTTAGACTAATCTCTGACTAATCTCTGACTATGATAAACTGCTGAGACCAGGTGCTGCTCTTCTATGCTGGGCCCCCACTGAGCTTGGAGTACCCCCCATGGGCATGGGTGCCCATCCTGGTACCGTGATTGAAGGACCAGAGGGAGGGTAAGACCCACGTCCAGCTCAGGCCTGACACGAGGTACTACCATAAGAAATGCATGTGTGCCTATCAATATTCTTGTAGCGTATCCTATATGTAATGAAGTATGAGGTAATTAGCACCCCTTGTCTGTGTTCTCTCAGATAGGCAACTCTGAAACGGGGAGTGATAGTGCAGCCAAAAATATATTTTTAAATCAAGGTTATGTAAAAATAATGCCTAAGAGAATCTGTAAAGGCAAAAGCACAGTGTGGATGTCAAAGGTGTGAATTGCCTCTGTCACATGTTAGCAGTGAACCCCCCAGCTGAAATTTATGTGTGTCTCAGTTTTTCACCTGTTAAAAATAGACATCTACCCTTATGCCCTGGCCTGCTGGTGGGGTTACTGTGTGAATTCAACTAAAGTAAAGTTTCTGCTGCCTCTCTGTACGACAAGGCTGGGGTGGTATACCTGCAGCATCAGTGTGCAGAGTTGGAGACCAGTGGGTCTCTCACCTCCCCCTAATGAATAAGATCAGAATATCAATGCTGGAGGGCAGATGCCAGCCTCACCAGTGGGTAGGTTCTAGAAGGTGCTGTGAGCAGTAGGAGCACAAAGTAAGATACAGGACAAGGTTGTGGGAATTTCTCACCTAAAAGCCTAGAAATCAGGCACCTGGCCCAGGTGAACTGGACTCTTCAAGGCAGGGGAAGGCGGAGCTAGAAAAGTCAGGCTCCAGCAGCCTTGTGTATGCTGCACATGTTTCTGAGCCAAAGAGGGATGGTCGAGAGAAACCATGTGTGGGAAACACCCGTGTTTGAAGTTGGGAAGCCTGAAAAGTTGAAGGAGGAAAGGAAAAACAATCAATCTGGGCAAAATTTAGGGGATGATTAAAGCCTTATAAATAGCAAAACCTGATTTGGAAAATCAATTTGTGACAGAGAGAGGAAGAGCCAGCAAGACAGAATCTGTTTTAAAATAAAGGTTCCAAATCACACATTCACATCCAGAAACTGAGAAGCACAGTTGCCATCTGCTTTCAGACACCTCTCCAAAACAGTACCACACATAACCAACAGCATTTCAAAAATCCAAATGCTAGACATTCTTCCTGAAAACAGAAGTGTCTTACCATACAATGTTTTTAAGTTTAAAAAAAAATCTTAAAATTATTTCAGGCTAACCCTCACCCAGCACATTTTGTTCCCCTTTTTATTTTCAGTTTCCTTTTGAAAATCACTTTACCAGTGGAAGATTTTGCCCCTGGAGCAGTTTTAAAATGCTAATTAGTATTTTGGCTTATATTCTAAGGTAGAAGATTTAAGATGAGGTAATTCAAATTTTGCTCAATCTTTGCCTTCAAATGGATCTTTACTTCCTCCTGCTTCTTTTGGGTTCAGATCAGTGCCAACAAATGATGGTTACAAGTTACATGTTTTCATTATACACCCTAAAGAGGGCATCAAGAGGTTTTCTGCAGTAATGATGGTTTAAATGATTTTTCAAAACCTCATCAATTTCCTTTTGCCAACTATTTATACCTGCATAAATGAATAAACCTAAATATTTAATGGAAAAGAAAATAGCCGGGTGTGGTGGTTCACATTTGTAATCCCAGTACTTTGGGAGGCTGAGGCAGGTGGATCACTTGAGGTCAGGAGTTCGAGATCAGCCTGGCCAACATAGTGAAAACCCATCTCTACTGAAAATACAAAAATTAGCTTGGTGTGGTGGTGGGCACCTGTAATCCCAGCTATATGGGAGGCTGAGGCATGAGAATCATTTGAACTCAGGGAGGTGAAAGTTGCAGTGAGCCAATATTGTGCCACTGCACTCCAGCCTGGGTGATAGAGCAAGACTCTAGAGAAAAGAAAAGAGAGGAACCTGTCATTCATTCTACAAATGTCTTACTGAGTTCTTTCTATGAAGATGGAACTTCATGAGTTTGTGAAGCTGGTGGGGGAGCAGACAGCTAAGTAATTGCTATAAAGTTTCTGACAGCAGAGAAACCCAGGTATTTTAGGAGGCTTGGGAAGGACTGTCGATATTGAAGAGTTAGAAGACCCTTGTAAGCAAAGCATGCTAGACATGCTCATTCATATCACCCAGCTCCTTTTTGAATGAAAATCCTGGTCAAAATGGTTAGCCCATGAGTCTAGAAATCTCTTGAGTGCTATTTGCATCCCTTACTAACATTGGCTTGCCTACAAAATGTGTTTAATGGATTTGTGGACATCAAAATACCTTGGAGCTGCAGGCCAGAGAAATATGTTGTTCTCAATCCCAGATGAGCACAAAAAGGCTGGAGGAGAGAAATGCTCCATGAGTCTGAAACCACAGGTTCGTTAGGGTTGTCCATTCCCTGACCAGTCACTCTACCACCATGCAGAGGGTGACTCCCTGTACAGTTATGGGAATGAGGGCGCGGCAGTAAGCAAGACAGACCAGTCTCTGACCTCAGGAGCTCCAGTGGAGACCACAAGGTAATTAAGGAGAAATTAAACAGATAAAGGAGTACGGAGTGGGGACTGCGGGGAGGCTGCAGAGTGAGGAATGTGAGAGAGAGTGTGGGTTTTAAGAGAGTGACCAGGGAAGGCTTTCTGAGGCTATGTGAAGAGTCGGGAGGCAGCAGTGCAGGGGCCCAGTGCTGGACAGTGAGCTCAGTCAGGGTGGCTGGGGGCAATGGTCTGGTGGTCTGAGATAGCAGAGGCTGGATCAGCTGGGGGTGTAAGGAGAAGGAGGTCTCCTGGACTGCATGCCAATTGCAAGGAGAAGCTACTGAAGGATTCCATACAGAGGACTGATATAGTCCGATTTACCCATTTAAACACACACACACACACACACACACACACACACACACACGCTGCTATATAGAGAATGGAGGGAGGGGGAACTGTAATCCTACAGTAAAGAGATGCTGGTACCCGGGACAAGGGGTGGGGGACATAAGAAAAAAGGGGACAGACCGGGACACATTTTAGACGTAGATCCACAGACTGAATGTTTTTGATCTGAGCATCTGAGTTGATTGTGAGGTCACTCCCTGAGACATTGACATTTGGGAGAAGGAAAGGTTTGGCTGACAGCAAAACCTCCTTTAGGAACAAATTAGGTGTGAGGTTAGTTTGTTATACTACTTTCTCTTTCAGGACATAGGCACAGATGAAGAAAATCAAATCATAAAAGACATTTAACGTTAACATTTTCCAAAATTGTGCATGTTCTAGCTGTCCCTTTAATGTCTGGGCATTTTGATACCCTGCGAGTGAGTGGCAAACTCTAAAATTAGTGTACATGGTGAGAGGTTTGCTAAAAGCTATATGCCCCTGTTTCTCTACCTGTTGCAGGGGATGTGTTTGTGGGAGAAAAATTTCGTGGCCTCAAACTGTGAAGGGGTAGGTTGAAATGGCCACAGGGGTCTTTATATTCTCCACCATCGTCTCCCCGCTGACCCCGGCCTTACTAGGCTTCCTTGCCTGCGTCCCTGCCTGCCGGGAAGGTCCCGCGTAGGTTGCAGAGACCATAGCAGACAGCAGTTGTATCTGTACCAGCCAGAGACACCTGGGCAAGAAGCATAACCCAGACATTGAGGAGGGTGAAGCCTCGCTGGGCCACCCCGCAACACCAGGAAGCCCTGGAGCAGTGAGAGACTCCTGGGCTGTCTCTTGCCAACACCCTGGCACAGGCACAACCGCGCGCTCACTCTCCGCCCGCTCCCCGTTAAAGGACAGGGTTTTCTCCAAAGGGAGAGGAAATATATGGACGCCCTGGTGTATTTCCCTGCTTATGTTTCTTGCCTCTGCTTCCCAGCGTTCCCGACCCTGTCCCATACGGGGTTTTGGGGTTCCCCGCTCGGGCCCGCACACCCCCCTACCACAGGCTGGCTGGGCTACGGGCGTGGCGGGAGGCAGCGGGGACGTGAGACTGGGGGTCACCCCACACGCCCTCCACGCCCCTCGGGCTGCGGCCCCTGCGCAACGGCCACCCATGTCCGACCATGCGGCCGCCTGGAGCGCAGGCCCGCGGCAGGCAGAGGCCAGGGCTCCCCGCGGACGCGGGCGCGGGCTCCGGATTCCCGGGCCGGCCGCAGGAGGCAACCAGGTCCCTGGGGGGCGCGGAGAGGAACAGCACTTACCTGTGGCGGCGGCGGGGCCCGGGTACAGACGCTCCGGGACGCGGGGCTGGGCGGACACTGGCGGGCCGGGGCCTGGCCGTCCCACAGCCGTCTGCCCCCCGCGCCTCGGGCCGCGCGCCGGGGCCGGGCCCAGACGCACTTCCTCAATCCTGAGGCCGGCGGGCGGGCGGGGAGGGCGAGTGGCGCGAAGAGCTCGCAGAGCAAGGCCGCCGCCAGCTCTCGCCGGAATGGTTTCGAGGCGTCCCCTCGGTGGCCGCCTCAGTTTCCCTAGCCGTAAAACGCGGGCGATCGCGCTCAACCCCCGTGCCCCGGGAGACGCCGGGGTCCGCGGGCCCTTCTAGTACCAGGTCTCTCCCTCAGGTTCGGGCACTCGGCTCCCTCCACGCGGGGCAAGCGCGGCGATGAGATTGGTCGGTGCTGCGCTCAGCCCCGCTTTCACTATCCCTCTGCTCTAGTGGCAGCAAAATCAGCAGATCAGCCCCTAACCTGCATGTGGCCCATACACTCCGTCCGTAAAAATTAAAAAGACAGGGAATATTCATTTGTGTACAGTTCTTTCCAGGGCAATACAGAAATATGTAGTTCTAAAGCGTTAACGATTTGCAGTTTGCACATCCTCCATCACATGGATTTTACTATTTCAATAATGGATGTATGCAAAGAATTTGCTGTTTGGTGAATCATGTTTAATTGTCGGCTTTGGGGGGAATACATAAAACATGGAATATTGGTAATTTATCGTGTTTCAACCTTTCATAAAGGTGTCATCAGGCTGCTGAGGCTAATATAGAAACGCAGACCATAAAGATCCGCGTCCACTCTGCAGGAGGGCCTCACACTGAGCTCCTCGTGTCGACCCAGGGAAAAGGCCTGCTCAGGAAAAGCAGAGGGTTCCACGCCCTGCAGGACCAGCACCCTAGGCTCCTCTCCTGAAGTGTTATGACGCGTATTCCCAGGATTTCGCGCAGATCTCCCCCACCCTCACTGACATTTCACAGAACCCGGGCAGCTACAGGGCTCTTACAGGACCTCCCGGACACCGCGGGACCGTGTTTCCTTGAGCGGCTTCTTGGGTCCCTGGTTGGCGAGGGGACCACCGAGCAGGTCTGCTCTGCTCCTGGGGGGCTGCTCCTGCCACTGGACGAGTTTCCAAAAGGGTGAGCGCAGTTCTGCAATCCTGTTCTCACCCCTGAGGGCCTCACACCAGTTTACAGGAGCCAGCAGTGTGATTGCTACAGATAAGTTCCCAACAGTTTGCAGGGCGTGGTGTCCTCAGTGCTGAGAGAGCCCCGCGACGGAGGCGCAGCTCCTCCAGGGCGCGCAGCCCCGCCACCTGGCGCCACCGCGAGGGAGCGCAGGCCCAGGGCTCGGGCAGCCGCTGGAGGGGACGCGGCCGAGTAAGGCGGGGCACCTCCGCTTCCCTTCTAAATGAGCTTGGGAATAGGCTAGGAAATGTCCCCAATGTAGAAAACAGCAGGAACATTTGACACGCGGATGACCTGTGTTGAGCCCGTTATATTCCCAGCATTTAATTCTAGCCATTAGGCATGTGTTAGCCACAACTTCTCATAGGAAGGCTATTGCAGGTAAGTTAAGATTCCTTTCCACTTCTTCCGGAGGCTCGCTGACCCACAGTTCTCTAGCTTTTGTTGGTAATCCCACCCGGATTCTCAGCACCCTAGGTTGGAATGACCCCTCCTGAGGTGGGTGAGGTCAGCTGGAAGCCACCTCCCTGAACTGACTTTTCTCTCTTTTTGAAGGCACAGTGGCTGAGAGCTCCTTCTGTGTTTTCTGGTTGTTTTTCTTCAGCCCAGTTCGCAGTTTCCTCGGACAGTCTTCCTTGAACAACTTCCTAAACGCCCTTCATGAACCCCCTTCAAGCTCATGCCTAGGAGCAAGGAGCAAATCTTCATTCACCAGCAGAAGAAGCTAGGCCATCCCAAAGGGTCCACTTCTAGAGAGTGTGCCAACCCCCACACGCACACCAGGCACACAAATGCATGTGTGCACACGCACACTACACCCTCCAATTGTCCCCAGAATGGCTTCCTTCAGGGAGTCACATTCCGGGACACCAAATGAGGGAAAATATCCTTCTCCTATAGTTTTCTGTTCGCATTTGGATTGAGAAATGGGATGTCTCTAAATAATGTGTCTAAATTCTCTTAACATAAGTGTGTATGTTACGAGAGATCTGATCCCAGCCTCCCTTAAGTTTTTTGTTAAAGAGGTGGTGCTTCGCCACTCACATCAAAGTGATCTGGGCTTTCTACATCAAATGCACAGGTTGAGCTTCAAGAACATACCCCAGTACCACCAATGATCTTGATCCAGTGTCAGTGTCAGCTCACAACGTGGTGATTGAGGCTTCTTGGTTAGAAGCTTTAGAAACTTGAGGTCAGTGAAACCCAAATTGATCCTTTCTCTAGATCCTCAGAGGAAAAGGTGACAAAAACAGACACTTGTGCTCACAGTCAGGGGCACAATGCTGTCCGTCAATCCTCATGCGGTCCTCCCCACCATTTCCCGCACTGACATCATTACCACTTTATGATAAACGGAGACTCAGGCAGCTTAGATGACAGCTGAAACTCAGCCAGATATGATGTGGAACCTCTGAGGCCCAGCTCCTTGCTTGGTCAACCCGAGCCCACAGAAATGGGTTTCAGAGTCAGGCAAAGCACTGGGCCCAATTGACAGAGTAAATGTAATTTTATGCTTACATTATTGATCCTGCTTTAATATCAGCCATTTTGTACAGGTCTCAGAAAGAGAAAGGCCTGCCATAGAATTCAAATGAGTTTGGTCTTTAAATGAAAAAGCATAATGTTTCCCAAATATCCAACTTTATTTTATCATTTTTGCATTGTGGAACACGATCTGCAGTTAGGATCAGACTTCCCAGGCCTATAGATTTTTAAATCACACCACAGGGGTAAACCTTAAAAGAAGTGAAACCTAACACTATATATATTTCCATTTCTAAATACAGTATATTACAGAAGGTTTAAATATACCACCTCTGTGTACTTACAACTATAAAAAGATACATTAACTATACCAATTATAAATAATGTAGCATTTCATATTAAAGACATTATTGTACAATGAGAGAATAGGAACCCTCTAACGTACCACTATCAAGGTTAGTGTCTATAGCTACTTGAGATAAAATACTGAAAATTCAGTGTATGAAGTCAAATCCTGATTTAACAAGTTATTGGTAGTGTGAGTGATAAGTGTTAGCTGATGAAGGGAAGGTAAATGTGGTAATTTATATCTCTGACAAGGGTGATAGGCCCATTTTATACATGGTTTTCCTTATACACACACTGGTTCTGATACGGGGCCTCATTTTGTTATTGCCCTCTCCAATTTAATTTGCAAACTTAAGCACCACTTTCCCAATTAGGAAAGTACTAGTTAGTAACCATAAAAGTATCCGAATAATACATTTGTTTTTGTATTTGAAGCTACATGGGAACACTTTCAGTTTCCCAAGTTAAAACATGAAATTGCACATCATCATTTGGATACCTAAAGAGGAAAAGAAAAAGTCACAACCTGCTAGTGAAATACTCAGGCCACTTGGATGAAGACCCAGGTCCTCCATAGAATCCAGGTGTTATTTACTAACTAATCAGAAATTAACATCAAAATAGGACTTAAAAATAACAAGGCTGTGTTATAACAGCAGTCTTTCCAGTTGTGTATGTTTTACTAATCTAAAATGGGTAACAGAACTGGAGAAAAGGAAGACTATATAGACTTATCGTAAGCCATTAGTGAACATGATAGAAATGCATAATTTGTTAAAGCGAATTACGGCTCTGATTTGTCAAATGAGGGGGTTAATTATCCTGGGATTTGCTATGCTGTTGTGGTGTTAGAATATTGGATCTTTAGCAGCAAAGGTAATATCAACAATATTTTCTGCTTAAGAAAGTGCCTTGGTTAAGGTAGACCATGATATCATTTTTGACTAAGCTCTCTGGGCTATTGATTCTGTCCTATTCCAAAGGCAGTATTGGTTTGAAGCTGAATCTCACGGTCAATGTCAATATGCAATCCACAAAGACCCTGATATCCTTCCACGGTATGCATTTCCCAAAAGTTTCTCACCATGAAATCCTATTTTTTTTTTTAAACAAACAAACAAAAAAACCCCCAAAACGTACTGTGAGTCCTTTCCCATGGATTGGTCCCACCTTTACCTCGGAAAGAGGCGTGGCTTGCTCTATGAGCAGGTCCACCCTGAGGAGACCACAGGTGCAAGAGCCCTGCTTGCAGAACACGCAGGGGGGTTTTCCCACATTCTTATTGGAGTCAGATTCGGCAAAGCATTTTAAGCAATGGCTGGATACTTCAAATACCACTCCCTGTTAACAACGCCCTGAGTATCTCACTGTCTCCGGGATCTGGACTAAAGTGAAAAACAGAAATGGCCAACAGCTCCCTCCCGAGGCAGGACTGCGATTTCACAGACAACATATGGGCATCCCCAGTTTGATGAATTAACAGGAGAGTGAGAGGAAAACAGCAATCATTCAACTCCAGTAGATGTAAAGCCTCCAGAAGAATGTGTACGGGGAAGGTCAGACATGTCATTTTTTTCTCCAGCACGTTTCATCTGCCACATTCCCCTGTCCGATGTTTGAAGAAGGAGCCCCGCCTTTCCTTCAGGGATTCTTGTCGCCAAGTTTGATGGTGACAGTTTTCACTTCTGTGTATTCGGCCAAAGCATATTCACCTCTGTGATCACAGAAAAGAGGAAAATTCAAAATGGGCACGTTCCTTAGCCTTTGTGTAGAAACTGTTCTGATGCTTCATCATTCCATCAGGCCATTGGAGGCTTATGCAAAAGGTCAAAATGTGACGACTTCATGGAATAATAGCCAGGACTATAACACCACTAGTAAGTGCCAATAGCTGCATATGTGACTTAAATGTAAATATCAAGGTTTTCTTGTGTGTGATGCTTTTGAAATAGCCAGGACTAATGGTTTACCTTTGGAGAATAAAGGGGATTTAAAAAAAAATAAAGAGGTGAATTCCCTGGGATGGCAATAGAGAGCAAAAAGAGAGGGCCTGGTGGACAGAGGGGTGAGTGTAAACAAGGGAAGAGCAGAAATTACACTGGGTTTATAACTTTTAGATGGCAATTGGGAGCTGCTTGAAGAGGAGACAGAAGAGGCAGAGGCCCAAAGCCATTGGCTGGGGATGTGGCCAGAGGACCAGAGGGAAGAACACTAAGGGCCTGAAGTTGGCCTCAGAGTGCACAGCTGGGAACCAGTTGTCAGACAGTGAGGCCAGCCTAGGGGGCGTGAGGAAAGCAGACATTAGCACAGACTGGACACAGGGAGTCCACAGCCTTTGGGTTCACATCCTTGATGTAGTTCCTTTCTTTAAATGTTGCAGGGCTCAGGTGAGCCTTCCCTGGCACCATGGTCTGTCTTCAGGGTAGCTTCCCTTTCAAGACCCGAGAGGCAGCTTTGGAGAGATTTAAATCCCTCTAAATGCTTGATCTGCTGTCAGGTGAAGAAAAATGTGTGCTTGTTTAGGAAGAGATGAAGCTAGAGGTGGTCACTGGAGTCTCTGGAGTTGAAATGACTTGTGACAGAATCCTATCTCCTCCCTTAGACCAATGGTTCTCAAAGTGTGGTCCCCAGACCAGCAGCATCAGCCTCACCTCTGAACTTGCTAGAAATGAAGATTCTCAGGCCTCCCCCAGCTCTACTATGGTAGGCAGAATAAGGATTTCCCCAAAGGTATCCACAATCGGATCCCCCAAGCCTGTGAATACGTTAGGCCACGTGGTAAAGAATTAATGTTGCAGATGGAATTCAAGTTACTAATCAATTGATTTCAAAAGAGGGAGACTATCCTGGATCATCCAGGCATAGACCCAGTGTAATCACAAGGGTCCCTAAAACTGGCAGAAGAAGAGGCAGAGCAAAATGAGATTATAGAAACAGGTTCAGAGATGCAGCAGTGCCGGCTTTGAAGATGGAGGATGGG